TTATTTATTTATTTTTTTATCGTAAATGTCAGTCAATAATCCAAAGTCAATGGTAGGCTATTCCAACTTTAACTTTCTTCTTATTGACTTTAACTCTTTTATTTGGATCTACTGCACTTATTTCCAGTCTGGATTTTTTTTTTATAATTTTAATTTTATTTACATTTAATTGTTATTTTTCACTTCGAAATTATTTTAAACTCCCATTATCCTTTTATCCACATCTTATATTTTCCGATTTATCCTCTCCGTTTTTCCAAACAATATTGTTTTTTTTTCGAATTTTACGCTTTTATAAAAAATCCGCTTAACTATCGTATCCCGATCAGAAGAACTCTTCAACTGAATTGTGGAAAATGATAACGAACATTTCAACATGTCGTCGTTTCATCTTCAACGCGACGTCTGATATTATGCTGCAGCTGCTGGCTGGCGCTTCAAACACTCACCTCGCAGCATCGTAGTAATTCCGAAATCAGAGCTACTGTCTGTTCCTAATCTACAGTTGTGTGCATTGTTGTTGTTGCTGATGTGATCTGAAGCGATGAGTTGAGATATCAAGCAAAAAAAATGTTTGACATAGGTACCGGCATACCGGCGTATGAAAGCGACGTTTAGGTGTATTCCGCGGTACAGTGGAACCTGTGTGGGAGAGACAAAAATAGATTTTCATAGATTTCAAAAATAAACGAATTCTTATTTCCTCCTCTCCCTTTCTACAATCTAAAGAAATCGTTAAGTTCTTATGAACAAGGGTTCTGAGTTTAATGAACTCTCTGAGATCTTAACTTTTTGACCCCATACTAATACCCCCAGAACATAAAAAACCTCTGATTTTTTTAGGAACTCTTAATGATATTAGGAACTCTTTCAGTGAACTCTCACAGAATCGAGTTCTTAAAACCTGAGTACGTTCTTTGGAGCTAATAGGTTCTTATGGACTCTCTGAGTTCTTATTGACTCTCTGAGTTCTTATGGTCTCTGTAAGTTATTGTAAATTACTCTTCTTACGAATTCTTACAGTTTTCAGAACTCTCTGTATTTTATTTGGTGTCCATCGGAATTGCAATTCTCGAATTTCGAAAAAAAAGAAATTAGTGCTGAATTCAATTCAATTGTGCCGATATTTTTATTTTGTTTTGAAATTCAAAAAAATATTCTGAGACATTCGAAAAAAGATCTTTCCGAAAAAATCTGAGAGAATTGCAATTTTCGAATCTCGAAAAAATTAAACTTGTGTTGAATTGTAATCAGTGTCTCTTACCCAATTCGAAAAACGACTATTTCGAAAGTGTGCCAGACTTACAATTTTCGAATTTCAAAAAACTAAATTTTTTTCTGGGTTGTGCCATCTTGTGCCGTTTATTTTTTCTCAATATCTTTAACGGCTATCGAGATATAAAAATTTCATAAAAAAAAATATTTTTCAGAAAAATCGGACCAAAAATTGTACTAAGAGAGCACAACTCACAACAATTTATCGCATCTCGATATTTGAACTTTTACAAAAATTTCAACGATTTTTTTGAAAATACTGTTTTTTTTTCGAAATTGACATATCTTCGAGATTCGAAAATTGCAATTCTGGAATACTTTTGAAATTATCGTTTTCTTTTCGAATTTGACAAAAGATAACGAACAAATGTTAACGGAACAAATGAGTACAAACCTAATAGAATTTATAACAACTTTTTGAAATTCGAAATTTCGAATTTCGATAATTGCAATTCCAACGGACACCACATTAAAAACTCCAGCAATTCTTATGAAATCCCTCGGAACTCTTTGACTTTTGATAAATTCCATGAGTCCTTATGACCTCTCCAAGTCCATTTGAGCTCAATGTGTTCGTAGGAACTCCCTGAATTCTTAAGAAATCTCTGAGTTCGTATGAACTTTGTGAGTCTCCATAATTTGTCATATTCTATGTTTTTATGTCTCTCTGAGTTCTTACGGACTCTCAACGCTCTTATAAACTCTCTAGGTTTTTATGAACCTTCTGAGTTATAAATATTTAAAAACTCTACGAAATCCTAAAAAATATTGGATTTGCTAGGAATTCCGAAAATCCCTAACTATAAAATCCAATGGAATATTTCACACTGTCCTAATTGTAGTCCAACACGACTTTAATAAATCTCATATCTGTGTCAAATTCATTCACATTTTTTGTTGCTATTTTTCTTTTTTAATCCGACAAATCTACAAAAAAGATTACAAATCTTCGATGCAGACACATTTAATTGGTTAAACAATATGTCCATGTTCTAAAAAACACCAGAGCACGAGACCAACAATTAGACATACAATCAGACAAATTGGTACATAAATTTGGTACATTAGGGTGACTTAACCTCAAAATTGAGGAAGAATATTTCGCGGAAGGAATTTTCAGGATACAAAAGTTAGTTTTGAAAAGATGAAGAGAGAGAGAGAGAGAAAGAAAAGTGTGTGAAAAAGTGTTTATGTGGGGGCAGTGCTAGAACAAAACTTAAGGGAGTGCGAGACATCTCAGGTTTTCTACTCTCTGATCACATTTTATGTCAATAGAACATGAAGAGAAAAAAGAGATAATTTAAGAGAAAATTAAAATGCTGTTTTTCTTTATATTTTACGGTTCTATTTAATTGTTTTTAAACACGAATGTTTGCCAAAATAATTTATAAAACATATGGATACAAAATATTTGTATAAATAATGACTTAACACTGTTTTGTTCTTGATTTAAATAATCAAAGAGAAATTTGACTGAAAAGAGATATTTCTTTTTGAGCACCCCTGATAGTGTTGATTGTGAGTGTTGAGAGAGTTACACTCATTTTAAGCACTCGCGCCTACATTTTGCCTGGCCCTGATTTAGTGAATTCGTCAATATTTAATAAATATGGGCTGTTAGAAGATTGTCAGTAGATTTTTGGACGTTCCACTATTGTGGTTCTCGGAATGTCCTGAATTTCGTATGTGGATCAAAGGTATCTACAAAAAGTGAAATAGAGAGAATGAGAGTCATAGAAATGTAGTTTACTTATTTTTAGAGCAAATGTTAAATATTTTATAGATTTTTAATCATTTTTTTTTGCCAAGCCGACCTAATGTCCATTTTCCATTTGGCAGATAGCCGGCATTAAATATTTACAACAATTGCACCCTTTTTCGGTTTGTTTGATAATTTAGAAATAGAAAAAAGAAACGAGATTAAAAGCATGCGTTCGCTGGCAGCGGTAACATAACTTGTCTGTTCACAATGATACAGGTTGACCTCGCTATAAATAATTTGCCAATTGAGTGAGTTCTTTGGGAATGCAATGGAACTCCGTAAAACTTGAGGAGCTTTATGAGCTTTTAGGAACTCAATTTGGTATCAGAAGCTACTTTTCTTTTAAGGAGCGTTGTAGGAACTGTTATGAGAATTTCCAAACTCCATGGGTTCCAAGGTCTCTTTGGAACTAACTGGCTGGTGCACACGATAACTCTCGAAGGGAGTATCCGATTTGGTCCAAATTTGGTACATCGTAATATTATTGTCAATCTTAAATCGAGTTCGGAGATGGGCAATATCCTTCTGGTACCTCCCCCACAAAAGGTCGAAATTTTAAAAATATATATTTTCTGCACATAAAGAGGAACGATAATCCGATTTTGCTACAACTTTGCAAATCCTAAAATTTGCGTCAGAGCTTGGTCAGGTGCGAAAATGGACAATATCGATCCACTCCATCAAGTACCTCCATCACAATCAAGTACCTCCATTGAATAATTTTAACTCTAATAAAATGTGATATAAAAGTCCGATTGTCTTCAAATTACACACATCACAATTAATCCAAAGTCTGGTGTGAAGATGGAGTATTTTGGTCCACTCCTTCTGGGTCAAAATTTTGAATAACTAAAACGATCATAAATCCGAAATAAGAATCCAATTATTTTCATATTTCCCCCATCCCATTTTTTCTACTACCACAACATTTGCTGTGAAGATGGGATATATCGGTTTAATCCTTCTGGTACCTCCCCTTCAAAGGGTCAAAATTTTGAATATCTACCGATTCCATTAATACTTGGTACATTTCAATATTTTCATCAACAAAAGATCTGTTGTGAATATGGTAGAGATGGAACCATTCCTTCTGGTACCTCCCCCACAAAAGGGTCAACATTTTGAATAACCAAAACGATAATAAAATGTGAAATAAGCATCCGATTCTCTTCATATTTCACCCATCCCATTTTTTCTACTACCACAAGATTTGCTGTGAAGATGGGATATATCGGTATACTCCTTCTGGTACCTTCCCCACAAAGGTTCAAAATTTTGAATATCCATGAAGCTCATAAATTAAATTAAAACCTTGAAATTAAAATCCGAATCCATTCATACTTGGTACATCTCAATATTTCCATCAACACAAGATCTGTTATAAAGATGGTAGAGATTGGACCATTTCCTCTGGTACCTCCCCCACAAAGGGCAAAAATTTTGAATAATCAAAACGATCAAAAATCCGAAATAAGAATCCGGTTCTCTTCATATTTCACACATCCCATTATTTCTACTAACACAAGATTTGCTGTGAAGCTGGGATATATCAGTTTACTGCTTCTGGCATTTCCGCTACAAAGGGTCTCTTTACACCGCCAAGTGTTCCTTAAGCTATATTAATTTTTAGAAATTTTTTTGGAACTCGATGAGGCGATTCAATATTTTATAGGAATAACATTAGATCCGGACAACTTTAAGGTATTTTTAGGAGTTTTGTAAACTATGTAGCGTCCAGAGAATTGAAAGCAACTCCATGAGTTCGTAGGAAATCCATAAGGTCTGCTTGAGTCTTCATTTCCAATGAAAGGCAATGATATTTTAGAATTCTTGCCATTATGAAAATGCAAATAGTATCCCTTGTATGACTAAACTCATAAATCTCCCTACCTAGCTCACAATTGAGTAATGTGACGAGAGCAAGAGAGGGAGAGAAGAGATAAAGAAAACACATCCATTATTGTTGCTTTGAAAAGGTTGCACATAAATCAAAGTTTATTAATTTTCAACAATTTATATTATTAAAGCTCGTCCACACACACAAACATACATACAAACAAAGATATTACAATACATTACACCCCCACACAAAGAGACATCAATAAATCATGCCGTAATGAAAACTCTCAGCTCTCTCAACATGACATTTTTTTACAAATTGTTGGCCAGTTAAGTTTCATATTTTCTAACATTGATGGCAATTCGACGTTTACGCTTACGCTGGCTGGTGTAGTGATGGAAATTTTCACTATAATTTTCATAGTTTTCACTCAAAGGCGGATCACAATTTAATTTGGTATGGGAATTTACATGCATGGCTCTGGAAAGAGAGAGGTAGGGGGAGAGAGAGAAAGTGAGAAAAGGCTATTAATTCATTGCAGAGAGAATAAGAAAAAACGTTAGAAAGCCAATGAAATGAGAGAAGGGAAATAAAAGAAGACATTTTGTCGATCATTCCTCTACAGAATGGGCGGGAATTATCAATCTAAAGGCTCAATTCTTGTTCTACGAAAATGTGAAAAAAGGGTTATATCAGAACCTGCAAGAATCTACTAATTTTGCATTTTTTTTCGATATCATAGAGGGAAAATCGGTTATCGTAGTAAAAGCTTTTACATTCTTGCTGTTCTGGAACAGAACAGAAAATTTCCATTGAAAAGAAAAATGATCCAGTGTCCAGGTTTCACAAATGCTACGGTTCTAGAGTTGCTATAACTGGTACTGAATTATGTATTTCTTGACAGAAATGGAGAGAGAACAATTCTTTATATGAGTTTTCTCCCAAAATCTCACATTTAAACTAGTAAGGAAACCTCAAGAGTCGGGCGGGGCCGACGATACCCTTCACCACTGTGCATATTTAGCAGAGCTCCCGTAACAAAAAGAAATGGAGAGAGAACAATTCTTTATATGAGTTTTCTCCCAAAATCTCACATTTAAACTAGTGCATATTTAGCAGAGCTCCCGTAACAAAAGAGTTTATTTGAAGTAGATCATACGACCTATCAACCTTTGGCTTTAGAGCAGTTATAATTTGATTTCAGAGATAACTAATATATGGGAGGTATACCCAATTCTGAATCGATTTTCACTAAATTTGATTCGGATACATTTTTTTTGTTTTATACCAAATAACATTGCTATAGAATGCATGATATCACTTCGAGAAGAATTATTTAAAAAATATTCGGATGTACAAAAATTCAGGACATTTGAAGTAAAATTGGCCATTTTGTGCACAATTAACCCGAAATCGGTTGAAGATATATATGGGAGCTATATGCAAGTCTGAACCGATCTTGATAAAATTTGGCAGAGGTATTTCTTGGCTGTATCTGATATCTGGTATCAATTATCATTGTTGTCGAATGCATATTACGAATGTGAGGGACTTAAACATCAAATCGGATGAAACACATTCATGGAAGCTATAGCTATAGCTGAACCGATTTTCTCCAAATTTGATACATTCGTTCGGATGTACCAAAATTCAGGTCATTTGGACTGATATTGGCAATTTGGTGCACAATTAACTCGAAATAGGTTCAAGATATATATGGGAGCTATGTCCAAATCTGAACCGAACTTGATAATATTTGACAGAGGTATTTCTGGGTTGTATCTGATATCTGGTACCAAATATCATTACTGTCGAATGCCTTATTTTGAACCAATTTTCACCAAATTTGAAGTACTTGCTTCTAGACTAAATTCGTTCGGATGTACCAAAATTCAGGTCATTTGAACTGATATTGGCCATTTGGCGCACAATTAATCCGAAATCGATTGAAGATATATATGGGAGCTATATCTAAATCCGATTATCACCAATTTCAATAGGGTACGTCCTTGGGCCAAATAAATATTGTTTGGAAAATTTAATCTCAATCGGATAATAAATGCGACCTGCATTTTTTTCAGAAAAATACATGGACAGACGGTCGGACGGAGTGACTGACATGTATAAATCGACTCAGAATGTGATTCTATGAAAATCCTCAAAAGTAACTATGGGTCTATAACGCTTCCTTCTCCATGTTACAAAGAAATTCACAAATACATAATACCCTTACCACTATGTGGTGTAGGGCCGAGGCTGAAAAATACATTTTAATATCAACGGTATCTTTGACTTTATAATGTTTTTTCTCCATTTAGGGGAGAAATGCAACATCATTTTCTCTTTCTTTTCTCTCATTTTTTCCCAACATATCAGTTTTGAGATCAAACTGTATGTTGGCACCATTGACTTGTTTTGAAAGCTTTATGGTACTCTAACGGAAAACTTTTACAGCTTTTAATATTTTTGCAAAGCAAAAATATATTTCAAACCAATTTCTACACTTCTCGTTTTTAAGAGATAATAAAACTGTCTATTACTTTAAACCTTGTTAAGAACCCATAAAGCTTTCAAGGCATTAACTTAACTTTATCATAAAAGCTTACGTGGTTTCCGTGGTTTTTCATAAACTGTTATAAAATATGTTTCTTTAAAAATATATCGTTTTGTATAAAAGTTTTCCGTTATCGTGTCCAATTTTCGTATTGCGTAAGAAAAGCACTTTGATAATGTTGCTCATAAATTTTTCTAAAAAACAAAAAACTTTCAAAGTATTGGTGTTTCCCAAAGAAAAGCTCTTCACAAAAGCTTACATGGTCTGCTTCAAATGGGCAATATCCTCTTCGAGTCGACCGATTTTCTCCTCCTGCTGTACCCTCAACAGCTGACAACGTTCGTTGCTCTCCTCCAAAAGTTTAATCATGTGTTCCTGATTGGAGAGTTCCACTTGTTTGTCATTGATATTTGTGTAAAGATTTTGAAATTCCTCCGTCTTGACGCGCAAGTCATTTGTGAGCTGCGGCGAAGGGGGATTAGATCTCATAATATCGGAAGCTACTGAAATCTCCGTACCTGATTAATGGTACTGTTCTTTTCACCCATCTGGGCCATAAACTCCTCCAGCTGAATCCGTTGACTGGTTTCGTTCGTCTGCAGCGAATTGATTAAATCGCTTCTTATGTCGAGTAGCTGTTGATCTCTTTGTATTTGTTCTTCCAGCTTGGTTATGTTATATTGAGCTTTGGATAATTCCATTTTGAGTTTTTGAATTTCACGACATTTCTCCGTTTCCGATTGGCGTAGTTTTGCGAGCTAACGCAACGAGTGAAAGGGGAGTGCGAGAGAGAGGAAGAGAGCAAAATAATTTAAAAACAAGGAACACTCATAGAGGACCTGTTGTTCTTCTCCTAGAAGACCAGATGGTCTTGAGAAGACCACCTGGTCTTCTATGAGAACTGGTCTTATGAGAAGACCAACTGGTCTCCTATGAGAAGACCAATTGAGACCAACTACTCTTCCAGGAGAAGACCAACTTCTCTTCCAGGAGAAGACCAACTGCTCTTCCAGGAGAAGACCAACTGCTCTTCTATGAGAAGACCAACTGCTCTTTCAGGAAACTTCCAACTGGTCCTCCAAGAATATACCAAGGGAAGACCAATTAATCTGTAAAGAGAAGACCAACTGGTCCTCAAGGAGATAACTGTATGCCCTTCTCTGAGTAGAGACGTTTGCCCCCATTTGGAGAAAATATTTTCCGTTTTCTTTTCATTACCTCCATTTGATTATCCTTGGCATTTTCTAATTTTGACTTGTCCAGCATTTCATCTTTAACCTTAAGCTGTTCCCGGAGAGACCTTTTGGGATAAAAGCTACATTGAAAAAAATTAGAAACAACGATGTGGCATATTATTTACTTTATTTCCTCTTGGGTCTCCTGGTAGCGGATCAACATTTCTTTACTAGAATTCAGTTCCTGGAAACCCGAAAAAATATGTCCATAACTTAAATTTACAAACTAATTCACAATACCTCTTTCAAATTTCGTTTATGTTCTTCCAATGAAGATTTGTCCTCTTCCAAACATTTAATTGTATCCCTTAGTTTCTGAATTTCTTCAGAATTTTCCGAGATATTTTGTTGTTCCACCATAAGTTGTAGTTTCTGTAATTCCTCCCCCATGGCCTTAAGGGTAACTGTTTTGTTCTGATTTTCATTTATCTCGTTGATCAATTGCTGCTGAAGCAACATGAAATTCTTTTGCATGGCATTTGTACTGGAAAGAGAATAAATGAGTTTTATGGAATTTCAGAGAGAGAGAGAGATAAAGAGAGAGAAAGAAATCCTTACCTCTCTTGGTTTTTGCGAAGGCTTTCCTTTAAGGTATTGATTTCTTCTTGTTTTTCCACGTCCAGAGACTGAAGTTGGGATTTAAGAAAAGCTCTTTGATTCTCGGAATTTTGGAGTCTATTTTCTAACTGTGAAACAGAAAAAGAGCGGTGCTGGGATGCATAGTTTAGGTCCTAGTTAATTTTTCGACCATACCTCTCTCATGGCACTTTCTCTTTGGGCTATTTCCGCTATCTTGGAATTGAATTGATTTTTCAAGGCGACTAAATCTTCGTCGTGTTTTTTGCTAAGTTCCAGGGATTTTGTTTCAGCGGCTGCCAGAGTTGCTTTGCATTCCTAAAAAGGTAAGAGTCCGAGAATACGAACTCATTACAAATCGTATTATGAAGCCATTATTTTAACAAGGACAGGCCACTTTGCGAAATAAGTAGTTATTCCTGGGCCTCAAATAAGCTGATAAATAAGTAGTTATTATTCGGCTACTACTAAAAAAGTTCTACTACCTATTTCTGGGCAAGGTATAACTATTGACTTCGAGTGACATATCCTTGTTAAAATAATGGGTTAGTAATCAGATTGGTAATGAGTTTTCTGAAGGGGTATACAATTAAATACTAAGGGTAGCAATTTCGACCGGGTCGAACTTCTAATACCCTCCACCAATTGGAACGAATGTGTCAATTTTCAAAAAAAAAAAAATCCGTTAAAAGTTCTGTTAAAATCTTAAAAATACCGAATGTAGCTATTTTTTGGGGTCTATACGATAATGTGGACCTGCAAAAGCAACTTTTGTTATTAGCCATTACAATATTCAAATGCGAAACTTGGAAAAAATCGATGAATAATGTAGCTAAAATCATCAAAATTCCGAATATGGGGAGGTACTATTATATGGGGGCTATACGAAGGCGTGGACAATTTTTTGCCATAGGCTGTACTATCCATTACGAACTTCAAATACCAAATTTGAAACAATTTCGGTGAATAATGTCGCTAAAATTATCAAAATACCGAATATCGGGAGGTACCGATATAGGGGGCTTATACGAGGATGTGGACCTGCACAGACAATTTTTTTGTCTTAGGCTGTTGTATTCATTGCGAACTTCAAATACCAAATTTGAAAAAATTCCAGTAAATAATGTCGCTAAAATCACCCAAAAATCCGAATATCGGGAGGTATCGTTATATGGGAGCTATACCAAAACGTGGACCTACATGGCCCATTTTCAATATCAACAGTCCTGCAGAAATAATAATACATTTAGAGCAAAATTTTATCAACCTACTTCATTTCGTTCGGAAGCTAGAGTGATTTCCACAGACGGACAGACGAACGGAAGACATTTTCGTTGAAGACATTTTCTTTGCATGGACCTTACCTCTAGTTCCTGTTTCAAATATTCGACTTCCGAGTCCGGTAACGGCTTCTCCTTATAGGACTTACATAAATCATCGATGTAGTCAAACAAAGCCTTGGTATTGGAATCCTGCAAAAAAAATATCCTCTTACAATTTATTTTCAAAATTATGGTATTTTCTCAATTCCTAATACCTGTAGCTGGCGTATTTTCTCCTGGCTGTTGGAATTTTCATTTTCCATGGAATTCCCCAACAGTTGTGCAAAACTTTCATTCATATATTTCAAGATTTTCGCCTTGAAATCATTGACCGAATTGGAGGCTAATGGGTGGGGAATTTTTAAGGTTATACTTTTTCCTGGGCCAAGAATTTTAAACTTACGCAGTTCCGGAAGTCCTTTTTCCTTATCTTTGATTAAAAGCTTACATTCACCATTCTGATGCACCACACTAACAAAACGATATTCAAAGCTTTTATCAGGATCAGCTTGGATTTTTGTAAGAAATTCACTCTGTAGGTCCGTCAACTTCTTCTCCAAGGCTTGGGGGGAATTTTGATCACCCGCTGTGGAGGTGGTTTTGCGTAAATTTGTTTTTTGATTTCCGGCCATGGAAATGCTGGCACGGGTTTGATTACTTCCTGAAAGGAGAAAAACTTGCCTATTTTAGACTCCAGATGATGAGAAGACATCCCTACCACCTCGATTGCCATTAATTTTCGAAGTCACAGCATTTGGAGGTCGATGGCTTTGAGCTTTTTCATTGGCCGTATTGGTTGCTAAACTTGTTTTCGATGCGGAATTGAAGGATTTCTTTTCAAAATCATCTTTTTTCGACATCAAACTCATTCTTGATTTGCTGACCGGGGTTGGAGATCTTGGCATTATGGCTGGGGGTGATTTTGTTAATGAATTTCTTTTAGAATCACTAGAGGGAGTTGTTGGCCTCGAATTTTGGGATGGCGGGCATGTTTGATTTGCAGTTTTGCCCTTTAAGCTTAACACTTTAGACTAAGAGGAGAGAATTTGAAAAAAAAAGAAAAATGGCGTATTCAAAAACTTAGTACCGTTGCTTTGATAGCTGGAATTTTGGAGGCTGGATTTGTGATCGACATCTGAATGGAGAATATGTGAATTGGAAACATATCATAAATGTATCTTCATATTCCGGAGAAAGCAACTTACATTTCTTCCTTTAGCTTTTATGGCTTGATTGGTTGCAGCTTTTGCCGACCCTACCGAGACTTGCTGGACCATTTTCTTGCCATCACCCTCAAATTTGGTTTGCTTTCCGGGAGCTTCCTCTGGAACTAAATGCAAAATGCACAAAAGTTTTTGGAAAAAATCGGAAATTTTTTATCTAACCTGTAGCCATTTTCTCAAGACTCATAGAACTGGGAGCTTTTTCCATTATTTTTAGTAAAATTTGGTGAAAAAATGTTACACAAAAAATTGGCGAATATTTTTTTCTCTCAAAGAACACGACACGAAAATAACAGGCGTTCAAATTTTAATTTTCACAAAACAAAAATTAAATACAAAAAACAAGAAAAAAAATATTTCTGCAAATAATTCTGAAAAATTAGTGTTGATACTGACTGCAAAGGCAAGGAAGGACTTGTTGAAATAAAAAAATAAAACAAGTTAAAAAGTATAAGTCATTTTTGCCGATAGATATATATATATATTCAGCCAATGTTGATTATTCAAATTGTTGATCCTCTATGGAGCAGGTTCTGAAGGAATGGCCTAATATTGTCCATTTCGTATCGGGCCTAAATAAGTACGATATAAAAATTTGCAACTTGCCAGGTATGATATATTTTTAGAAAAATCGCTGATTTTTTGCAGAAAATAGCAAAAATTTTATAGCAGAAAATAGTATTGAAAATGGTGACCCTTGGCGGGTTAGATACCAGAAGGAGTTCGCAGATTCCTATCATCTTCACAACAGATCTTGTGTTTATAAAAATATTGCGATGTGTGTAATTTTAAGAGTATCGGATGCTTATTTCGGATTTTATGATTATTTTTTTTCAAAATGTTAACCCTTTGTGGGGGAGGTACCAGAAGAAATGGTCCGATCTCCACCATCTTTATAACAGATCTTGTGTTGATGGAAATATTGAGATGTACCAAGTCTGAATGGAATCGAATGGTTATTTTGGGTTTTATGAGCTTCATTGACATTTAAAAGTTTGACACATTTGTGGGGGAGGTGCCAGAGGAGTGAACCGATATATATCTCTTTACACCAGACCTGGGGCTAAAAAAAAATATTGCAATGCGTGAAATATGAAGAGAATCGAATGCTTATTTCGGATTTAATGATCATTTTGATTATTCAAAATTTTAACCCTTTGTGGAGGAGGTACCAGAAGAAATGATCCGAACTCTACCATCTTTTAAAAAGATCTTGTGTTGATGGAAATATTGAGATGTGCCAAGTCTGAATGGTATCGAATGGTTATTTCGCGTCCACCCTGAAATGTTCGATGTTCATTCCAACAGAGTAAAAGTTCGCAAACTGTATTTCGATTAGTATAAGCTCTTCAGAGATCAGGGAATGTTCGCAAACTCACTACATCCTTCGTAACAACGTATAAGTCATTGTCAAGACGATATATGTTCCCAAGACCAACTAAAAGTTTAACAGCTCTCAATAGATTCCGCAGCTAGCTATAGGCACCTTAACTCATTGCAGGTTCCCTATTAAAGGCTCATCGATTCGCAAGTGGCTCACTGATGTATACTGAAGACTCATCTGCTTGAGTTGGACCAGTTTACTATAAGGTTCGCCAGTCCACAAAATAGGTTGGCTAGCTTACTACTGGTTAGTCAGTTCATCAAGAGTTCGCAAACTGAATATGAGTTATAACCTGTTCACCAAAAGTCCACCAGTAGGAGCTTGACGGGTCAGTATGAGTTTTGGAAGTCACTATGGGTTCACCAGCTCACTGTAGGTTAGATTTGAGTTCGCCAGCTCACTAAGAGTTCAAAACCTTTCTATGAGTTCAGCAGCCCAGTAGGCGTTTGACGGGAGTTTTGACTTCGCCTGCTCACTAAGAGTTCACCAGCTCGATATGACTTCGGCAGCCCAGTAGGAGCTTGACCAGAAGTTGCCAAATTAATATGAGTTCACCTACACACCAAGAGTTCAACAGATCGGTATGAGTTCGACAACCCAGAAGTATTTTGACGAGTCACTATGGTTTCGCTAGTTCAGTATGAGTTTGGGAGATCATTATGGGTTCACTAGCTCACGGTAGGTTAGATTTCAGTTCGCCTGCTCACTAAGAGTTCAACAGCTCGCTATGAGTTCGACAGCCCAGTGGGAGTTTGACCAGGAGTTGGAAGCCTAATATGAGTTTGCCTACTCACTAAGAGTTCACTAGCTCGGTATGAGTTCGGCAACCCAGTACGAGTTTGACGGCTCACTATGAGTTCACTAGTTCAGTATGAGTATGGAAGGTCATTATGGGTTCACTAGCTCACTATAGGCTAGATTTGAGTCCGCTAGCCCGATATGGGTTCGCGAGTTCACTATGAGCTAGTCAGCTCACTATGGGTTCGCCAGTCTAATGTTGGTTCGAAAGTTCACTAAAAAACGCCAGCTTACTCTGAGTTCACCAGCTGACTTTGACTACACCTACTATCTATGAATTCACCAGGTCACCATGAGTTCCCCAGGTTACTATAGGTTCACTAGCTCATTAAAAGTTCGACAGCTTAGTTCGCTATGGTTCAAACATGCCCATTGTAGGGCATTTCAAATTTTCTAAATTCCTGTGGTGGTGCTGCTGTTGTGAACGTGAAAGTGTAAACAAAAACTGCCAAGAAAATACCGGAACTAAAACCAACGACGCCATCAGCGCTCATCTGACACCGAGGGTGTCTGTAAAAGCATCCATATTTTGTTTTTTTTTTTTTCACACAAAACCCACAAACATGTGTCCAACTATTGGCTCCAGCCCCACGAGAGCGGATTATTCTCCTCTAAATGAGATGTAATGCTCAGCAGCCAGACGCCAATACAGCCGGACAGGCAGACATTCGGTTCACAATTCATTCAAACTTAACTGCAATGCATTTTCAGTTGACCGTTAACTATTGAGGATCCAACACGCGGAACGCGCATTCCACAACTAGCTGAATTTAACCGCAAACGTATAAGGGTACATGTGATAGAGAGTGTGTGTGGCTGTGTGTCTGGGCTCTGCCGGAGGGTGACTTGATCCCAAATACAAAAATATTAATATTAATTAATTCAATTGTAACGAACGAATTGAAATAATTGAACTGAGGAGCCATCACCGACGACATCTATATTTGGAGACACAGAGGCGATCGACAGCCAGCCAAATACAAAAAAATAGTATTATTATTGTTGTTGTTATTAGTGAGAAGACGCAATAATTATTGGAATTTTCATAATTTCACAATTTCCAGAATCCATAGAAGTGAGTAATTCGAAAAAAAAAAATTGGAAAACAAAAAAAATAGAAAACAATCAAACTATATTTGTCCGGTGATAACCTGGCCATTGGGGGCCCCTAACAACAGCACGGAGTGACGTTTTGTGTTTTACAACAACATTTGTTTGTCTAGTCTGAGATTATTCCGCTGACACTTTGGACTAATTGGCGTTCAGCAAGTGATTTGTAGTTTAAAAAAATAAATAATAAGTCAGGTTGGAAAACGGATATTGAACCAGCGGGGCGACGAACTTGGTGTGATGTGAAGAACTTGCATAGAGAGATCCTTAAGTGGGAAAGGGAGAGAGAGAGAGAAAAGGAGATCTCCTGGACCCTGCGGTGAGTTTTTGAATTTATAAAAATCAGGAGAAAGCTTCCGATTCCAAAGAGAACTTTTTGTTGAACATTGGCGATCTTATATAAAGCTGTCAATCTCATAGAGAACCAATGAGCGATATTACATATACTGGCCGATATTACAGAGATCTATCAATTTTAAAGAGATCTGATATCGATATACCAATCTTACAGAGAACTCACGTTGTTCCAGAGACCTGAGAGTGTTTTAATACAGAACTGGTTATCTGCCAGTGATCCGGTGTTCGTACACATTCCTGGGGAACCTGTAGAGAGATGACGACCTTAAAGAGAGAAAAAATGATTTAGGAAAGCCCTGACATCGATCGAGGTACTGATCTTTCATAAAAATCACGTCCTTCCAGGAACTGGCGATTTTATAGAGAACTGGTTATTTGTCATTGATGTAGCGTTCGTACACATACCTGGGGAACCTTTAGAGAGCTGACGACCTTAAAAAAGAGAGGTAGTGATATTAAGAGAACCCTTACTCTTCAAGCGAGCCATCGATCTTATATGCAACAAGGGCTGGAGATTATACCGAGATCTAGAGATCTTAAACGGTGCCGGCGATCTCAGGAATATCAGGCATCTTCAATTATTTTTAAAATTGTGGCAGAGAGGGTTTGATAATACATAGAGCGGCCAATAATACAGAGAGCTGGGGATCTGGACGATGTAAAAGGGAGCTCCGGATTTGTTTGCAGAGATGTTTCTACATTACATAGAGCGGCCGACTGTACAGAGAGCTGGCGATCTTACACAGAAATCGATGTAAAATGGAGCTCGTGATTTTACAGAAATCTGGCAAGTTTAGAGAAAGCGGGCTATCTTATGGAGACTTGGTGGTATTGAGAAGGTCTAGCCATTTTAAGGAGAACTGATTTTCTTACAAAGAGTCGGCGAACTCACAGAGAGCTGGAGATGGAAATCTAAGAGATCTCGCTATTTTACAGGAGAGTGACGACCTCATAGAGAGAAGCTCTTTTAAGTGAGAGAGAGAGAGGGAGCTAGCGATATTAAAGAGTGCTAGCGATCTCAGACAGAGTATGTGATCCTACAGAGACCGAGGTATGCTACAAAGCTCTGGCGACCTTATAGAGAGTTTGCGATCCGAAAGCTAGCGACATTAAAGATCTGTGGATCACCAGCGATATCTGTCGATTTTGCACTAAGCGAGCGATTTTACACAATTCTGGCGGATTTCTATATGAAGAAAGCCAACGTATTTTTTTTATTTTGTAAAAATCGGGCGATCTGTACAAAAGCATGAAAATGTTCCTCTGCAACAAGCTGGGACAACTCGGCTTGAGCTGGCTAATTTCTCCGGATCTATTTTCGGACTGCATCATTAATTGTTTTGCTATTGAAGAATATTGGATTTCCGTTAGATTGTCATTAACATAACATTCACCATCAAAATTGATATTCATTTCAGGTCAGTCGTCATATTCTGCCATCCAACAATCAACGAAACACCATCCATTCATTCGAAGATCAGTAGCATCGCACACACCGACAAATTGTCGACAGCACATTGTGACAGTGAAAATGAATTGGCTGGCGTTGGCTATTTCCATATCGGCAACCCTGAATATTGCGTTGGCCTGTAATCGGGTGCCGTATGGGACAACGGCAGCCAAATCGCCGGTGGATGAAAGCTATGCCGTTGTTATTGCGGGTAATCCCCAGACATATATACCGGGACAGAAATATAATGGTGAGTTGGAAAAAGACCTTCCATTACAGATTATTTTCTAATAGCTCTCCTTACCCTTCCCCAGTCTCCTTGGTGGCCTCCAATGACCAGGTGTTCATTAGCTTCATGTTGGGCGTGGAATCTGAAAATGGCGGTGTCGATGCCATGGATGTGGTGGGCACCTTTGAAATAGCCGACCTGGCTGAAACCCGTTTCAGTCCACGCTGTGCCAATTTGGTGGAAAATACCAACACAAATGTCAAGCAACGTGTCGATGTGGTTTGGGTGGCGCCCGCAGCCACCGGCATGGGTTGTGTGCTGCTGAGAGCCACCGTCATACAACATCGTGATGTTTGGTTTATGGATGATGGATTTTTGACGAAAAAGTTATGCGAAGAGGAAATCGATGATATCGATAGTCAACCGACAATTGTCGATCCTTGCTGTGCCTGTGATGAGGCCAAATATGAGCTGACATTTGAGGGCAAGTGGTCACGGCATACGCATCCCAAGGATTTCCCGGCGAATAGTTGGCGTACAAGATTTAGTGATATTATTGGGGCTTCCCATACCGTCGACTATCGTTTCTGGCAGTATGGTGAGCTGGCCAGTGAGGGTTTGAGGGAAATTGCCGAACATGGCTCCACAAGGACTTTGGAAACGGAACTCAAGGATAAGGTAAAATAAAATCTCTTAAAACAATCTTCAAAACTTCATTCTCTTCATCTTTACAGAGCGATCAAATCCGCACGATTATCAAGGCCCGAGGCATAGCCTATCCCGATGTGACGGGAAAAACTCATGCCGTGTTTCGTGTCGATTCCCAGCATCATTTGATATCCTTTGTGTCCATGATCGATCCCTCACCCGATTGGATTGTGGGTGTTTCAGGACTGGAGTTGTGTCTGTCCAATTGCAGTTGGGTTGAGACCAAGGTCTATAATTTATATCCCTGGGATGTGGGCACCGATATGGGGCCTTCGTATATGGTAAGTTGAAAATGTTGAGGAAGATTTAATGACCCTCAATTGATTTGATTTCTAGTCAGCAGACCAGCCTCAAGTTCCGCCGGATGTGGTGCGGCGCATTAAATCCAATTCCCCCAATGATCCACGTTCTCCATTCTATGATAGCAGTGGGGCTCCAATGAAACCTCTGGCCACGGTGTATTTGAATCGACGCCGTTTGTATGAGAAGACCTGTGATAACACGGAATGTAAGTAGTCAGTTATTAGTTCCACTTATTATTAGAAGTTCCACTGTGAAAGAGGTGGGGTGGAACCGAAAGAGATGTGCAGAAATTAAAGAAAACTGGCTCACAGGTATTCAATTCGGGAATCGATAATGAGCTGTGGAATTGACAGTGAGCTGTGGAATTGACAGTGAGCTGTCGAACTTCAAAGTTTTAGAAAACCCCACCACCTTTGTTCAAAATCCCCTCAAACTCATTTGAGCCTTGGGCGCCATATTTCTTAAAACTCCCTTTTCCATCTTTTTCTCCAGCCGAAAACGAACCTATCGAATGTGCCACTCATCATTGGTCTGCCTGGGATGAATGCTCGGCCAAATGTGGTCCTGGCACACAATATCGTACCCGGGAATTTAAAAATCCCGCCGCTGCCCAGAGAGTACGCTGTCGCACCAGTTTGCGTCAGGAACAATCGTGTATGGGTCGCCAGTGTGAGGCAGAAAATGGTGATGTTGAGGAAACAGTGTATGCCCCGGCGCCCGATATGCCCGAGTGTGCCGTTTCTGATTGGGGTGAATGGTCGTCGTGTTCGGTGTCCTGTGGCAAGGGTTTTGAGATAAGGCGAAGGCGTTACCTGACCCGAGGGGCCAAAAAGAAGTGTCAGGTGAGAAGCTTTCTTTCAATTATTAAAGAATTATACTCATATTTCCGTTCCAGCCCATTCTCCGTTTAATTTTGGAGGAGAAACGAAGCTGTCGGGCCTCGGACTGTGGTGGTGACATTGGAGACAGCGATGATGGAGACAATGGTGGCGGTGATGCTGAGGACAATGAAGTTGATGGCACCCGATCCCTGTTTGGCAACATTGATGACAATATCCGTTATCGTGACCTGGAAAGCTATAGCCACCAATTGGACGATTATATACCGCCCGAATGTGGAGTGTCTCACTGGTCGGATTTCTCACCCTGTCTGGGACCCTGTGGTGGCAAGGGTACCAGTGAACGCCAACGTTTTGTTTGGAACAAAGACGAAGTATATGGTGTGCGCAATCCAAATCGCGACCCCTCCATAGATCCCTGTCGCCACATTAAACGCCGTGAAGTGGTCAGCTGCAATACCCTAAACTGTGATGCCATTGTGCCGCCGCAATGCTATGAGATTCTGAAGCCTAGCCATTGTCGCGACAGTGATGTGGCCAATTACTGGTATTACGATCACATGTCCGATCAGTGTGCCATCTTTTGGGCAGATAAATGTGATCGGAATCGCAACAAATACAAGTCGAAGGAAGAGTGTGAGGAGACGTGTCGCATGCCACGCAAGAAGATGGAAATGCAACAGGAGAACATAAGGGCCGATCCCATCGACTGTGTGGTCAGCAATTGGATGAGTCATGCTTGTAATGTAACCTGTGGTGAGGGTGCCCAGATCAAGACGCGCAAGGTGTTGCGTTCCCCAAAATATGGTGGCAAACCCTGTCCCAAACATCTGGTGAAAATTGAGAAATGTTATCAACGTTGCGATGACATCTATTCCGTGGGAGGTTATGTGCCACAAAACAATGAGGATCGCCGAAGACATCATAGCCATGTGAAATTGGAACCACCGCAGATCGAGGAAAAAGATGAATGCCGTTACTCCGAGTGGTCCGTGTGGACACCGTGTACTGCGACCTGTGGCGACAACTCATATCGCCAGAGGACACGAACATTGCTTAACATTGAAATGAGTTACAAATGCAAGGATCGTGTCATTGTGGAGAAGTGTAAAATGTTACCCTGTCAGCTGAATAATAATGAGGAGTAGGAGAAGTGTTTCCCGGAGAGGATGGGGAGGATTGATATAATGGCATTATTATTGTTTATACATATCTACGAATAAAAGAATAATTGTTAAATCAAAAATGAATTGATTTTCTGATTAAAATTAAAATTTAAGGGACAGATGGCGCTACTAGTCAGTGGAGAGACAAAGAACAATTTTAAGAGAGAGAGAAAGAGGGTAACTCTGCGTAAATAAACTAGACATTTTCTAAATTTAATAAAAAAAACCTGTTGATTCTGAATATGCTGTGGATTGGTGATAAGTGGGTCAAATGTTTTGAAAATAAATTTTGAATAAAAAAATATGGACTATAAATAAAATTGTGGCAAAGTTCCAGAGAAGTCTAGAAGGTCAGAAGTTGTATTTGGAGTAGGTCAAAATATGGGGTTTACACCTCCTCCAAATACAACTTCTGACCTTCTAGACTTCTCTGGAACTTTGCCACAATTTTATAGTCCATATTTTTTTATTCAAAATTTATTTTCAAAATGTTTGACCCACTTATCACAAATCTACAGCATATTCAGAATCAACAGATTGTATTTTTTTATTAAATTTAGATGCAACCAAATTAATAATAGAAACAACAATAAAAACAATTATGAGCTACTCAAATGAAACTATTCAATTCGCTTTGGGTCATTCACCCATTCCCCAGAGGCGGTACAATCATATTCGGAAATAATCAATCTAAGAGATGACAATAAAATAATTACGCCACCAACAAAACTAATTGGTGCGCGTGCCTCCAAAAGTCACACACACGCACACACAGAGACACTATCTCAATGGGCCAGGCTTTCCCACACAGTGTCTTGGAAGAAATTTACGCTCTTCGTTTCGCTGATGACTTTCAATCTTCAATTAATTGAACGGCGTCAAAACAAGAAAATTAGGCGATATCAGATTGCGGACATTTCATTGAGTGATTGAGTTGTCTTTTCGATTGCGTATCAAGAGGAAGGGAGAGAGAGCATGGGGAGCAGGGTTGTGGCTAGCATTCCTCATCTAGTCTCTTAAATGAAGATGACATAGTTTTTTCGTTTAATTGAATCAATAAACCAAATGCCGAACAAAACTATTAAAAAATTGAACTATTGAAGAATTCTCTTGGCGGCAGCGAATTTAGTTGGTTGTCGGTTTTCAAACGGTCGTGAGCTATAGATAAGTGGTATACGCAATCGAAGGACTTGAAAGTAATCAGAACATTTAGAAAAACAAAGAATATAAAAAAAAGGAATCGGATCAATTAGAAATGAATCCTTGTGGCATAATATTGTGGTGTCTATCGATATTCGCCGCGACGAGTGTTTGCTATTCGGCCTGCTATCGCACACCGCAAGGTGCCACCGGTGATCGTTCGCCCGTCGATGAGAATTATCAAATATTAATTGATGGCAACCCTTCGACATATCTACCCGGAAGAGAATATAATTGTAAGAGAGGAAGGATATGGCAATGGCAACAAACGATCGATATTTCAAAAAACCAATGGATTTTTTGAGGAGAAACTGAAGGACCAGGATAAACGTTTTATTGATAACCAGAAGGGAGATTTTATAAACGACCAGTGGACCACAAGTAGACTTTATGAGCGAGCTATAGGAAGCTTTTGAGACCTTTATAGAAGAAGTAACGGGAGAATTTATGGGCGATTTAATAGAAGCTTTATGGGAGAGCTCAAGGGGGACTTTACCCTTTTAAGAGTGTTAAAATGGTAGAATTTAATTTAAAGGCGAATTATAGAGAGCTTTTACAGGCGAATTAAAGAAAGCCCTTACAAGCGAATTAAAGGCAGCCTTGAAAGACGAATTAAATGGAGCCAATGAAGGCAAATTAAGTTGAGCCTTAAAGAGCAAATTAAAGGGAACCTTTAAAGGCAAATTAAGTGCAGCCTTAAAAGACTAATTAAAGAAAACCTTTAAAGGCGAATTAAATGGAGACAGAAAAGTTGAAATAAATGGAGCCTTTAAGTCGAATTAAAGGAAGCCATGAAAGACGAAATAAATGGAGCTTCTAAATGCGAATTAAATAAAGCCTTTAAAGGCGAATTAAATGGCAACTTTAAAGGCGAATTTAATAGAACCATAAAAGGCGAATTAAATGCAGCCTTCAAAGGCGAGTGAAGCAGCCTTTTAATAGGCTGGAGACTGTTAAAGGGAGCCTCTTTCATAATAGTAGGAATAAAGGGACACTCTTTCTTTATATGCGAGCTGAAGATAAACTATCTTTTACAGGCTAGCGGTAGGAAGTCTCTTTATAACATAGCTGAAGAGAGTATTTTTCTTTATAGGAAGATAAAAAGAAATCTTCTTTCGTTTGAGGGAGAGCCTTTTCGTAGGTAAGCTCAATGTGAGCATATTTACTATAATGAACTAAAGGGAGTCTGTTTATAGGGGAGTTTAATGAAAACCATTATAGGTGAGCTTATACAGACGAGATGAAGACAGCTGCTATAGGCTAGCTATGGCATCTGAAGGGAATTTCTGTAGCCATTGAAGGGTGTTTTTTTAGATGACATAAATGGGCTCTTTGTCGGCGAGCTGAATAGGGAGGAGTCGAGTTGAATGAGAAAGCTTCTTTACAAAAGTACTACTTGAGAGGTTCTTCATCAGCCAGCCAAACTAAGCTATTTAAAGGCAAGCTGAAGGAAACTTTATGAGCCTGCTATAGACAAGTTGAAAGAATCAAGTATAGAGGAGCTGGTGAGAATATATATAGACGAGCAGATGAAAGTTTTTATTAATGACCAATAGGGAATCTTTATAGACGACCAGTAGATGTCTTTATAGAAGTTATTTATAAAGTCATTTTAGACTACCCGAAGAAAGAACATCTAAAATGTCCATAGAGAAGCGGAAGGATAACTCCATATATAAACGTAGATCTTTGTAGACAACCCGAAAAAAATGTAGACGATCAGAGGCAATCAAAAGAAAGTCTTTATAGACGGCAGAAAGCAGTTAGAAGGCGGTCTCTCCAGAAAAGCCCAAGAGTATATTTACAAGCGAGCTCTGGGGATCATTATAGATAGTGCGGAAAGTACCCTTATGGTATCCTGAAGGAAGTCTTTAAAAGCATCCTGAAAGGAGTCTTGCTAGACTAGCTAAGGCAACCTGTATACAATTTCTTTAGGCGATGAACAGCAGATAGCCTTTATGGACAAACAGTAGAGCGTTTCTTTGGGCGAATTGGAGATAACCTAAATAAGGCTTTCCAGACGAGTTGTAAGGAGTCGTAAACAGCCTGAAATGAGTCTTTATACACGACCCGTCGAAATTTGACAGACTATAAGTTAGCAGAACGAAGTTTTCATAGACCACCGGAAGAGTGGGGGAATCTCTGTAGGTGATCTTAAGGGAATATATACAGGCTAGCCCTGGAGACTCTATAGGCGAGATCATGGGAGTCTTATAGCCAGTCTGAAAAAGGCCTTTATAGTCAAGCCATATACAAGGCAAGTCTATGGAAATCCCTTTATCTGGCCTTTGATGTCTTACTTCAGCTCGACCTCTCAAAGTGAGCCTCTATAGAAGGCCAGAGGAAAAACGTAATATACAACCTAAGGGGGTCTTCAAAGACGAGCTGAAAAGAGTCTATAGGCGGCCCAATAGTAGTCTTCATTAACGATTAGAAGGGATCTTCTGCAGCATATCCTCTTTTCCTTTATAACCTGAAGCCCAACTTATATCTTTCCTAGCAAGCTTAAAGACCCAGTTTGCGTTTTTAAAAACGAGTTGAAAAGAGCTTGAAAGATCTGAAAGAATCTTTTAAGATGAGGAGAAGGCGATCTGAAGTACCGCGATCTGAATTTCGGCAATCTAAAGCCCATCTTATCCTTTCCCTAGGCGGGCTGAAGTTTTTTTCGTAGTAAAGGGAGTATTTTTTTTTTTGGCAGGTTTTATAGATTTTTTCAAAATTTAAAAGAATATTTTCTGCCCCACATCTACCTATGCTGTTAGAGTATTGAAATCATTGTCGGTGTCTTTCGCAATTGTTTGTTTTATTTAATTCCATCTTCTCTGTTCCAAGTATCCCTATCCTGTCCGGATGGCCTGAAATTCTTGACATTCACCCTACTGGTGGAATCGGAAAATCCGGCCCACAATGCACGCAGTGAATTGTTGGGCAAATTCGAGATTATCAATCCGGCCGAGACGAAATTTAGCAATCTCTGTGAGAATATGATTGAGAGTAGCAACAGCAATATGAAGCAGAAAATCAGCGTCACTTGGATAGCTCCGGATGATCCAGAGAGTAGTTGTGTTCTCTTCAAGGCGGCGGTGCTGCAACATCGCACCGTTTGGTTTATTGATGATGGGTATTTGACAAAGAAATTGTGTCGCGAGAATGTCGATGACATACATCGCCAATTGCCGGCTGTGGATCCCTGTTGTGCCTGTGATGAGGCCAAGTATGAGGTGGGTTTAGGAATTTATTTTTTAACGATAGAAGTAATATCTAGTCTTCCATTTAGATTGTCTTGGAACGCCATTGGTCCCGCAATACCCATCCCAAGGATTTCCCTTTGCAGGCTTGGCGCACTAGCTTTGGCACCGTCATTGGGGCCTCACACACGGTGGATTATTCATTTTGGAGTTATGGCACCCCGGCTAGCCAAGGTCTACAAGAATTGGCCGAACATGGTTCGAGCATGGCCTTGGAAATGGAAATCAAAAATCACACGGAAGTAAAATTTAGAAGGAGATTATTTAATGGATTTCTCCTAAAATATTTGTTTCTTTCAGACCGGAAAGATACGCACCATAATCAAGGCCCCTGGCATCCGGTATAAAGCCAACTTTGTGGGCAGAACATTGGCCACGGCCCGAGTGGGTCCCAAACATCACATGATCTCGTTGGTAACAAAAATCAATCCCTCGCCGGATTGGATTTTGGGTGTGGCCTCTATGGAACTGTGCACTGCCAATTGTCGTTGGATTGATGAAAAGGTTTTGAATTTATATCCCTGGGATGTGGGCACCGATTCGGGACCTTCTTATGAGGTAAGAGATTTGATAGAATTTGGAAAAGAGTTTTATTCCATAT